TATTATATAGGCATGGATAAAATAGTGCAATAGCATCGCGAAATCGCAGAAAATCACTATTTACTATTTTCTGTATAGTTGGTGAAGGAGTATAAAGAGTTGGGTTAATGATAATAGAAAATATCGAATCTTAGAGTCTGATATACATTTTTATCCAACATTTTTTTTAAGAAGTGAGTAACAGAAAGGAAGGAAATAATAAGTACCTGATTTAATGCATCTTTCTTAAAGTTTTTTTTAATAATTTTATTTGTTTATGTACGTTGATTTGGATTTTGATATAATAACTAGTTTGGCCTATATATGCATCTTCTTTGAACAAAAAATAGTTTAGAAGGTGAGAACCTGACACTAGAAGGTTAGTTGGTGATCGAAAACTGATGTTTATGCGCCAAGGAATTTGTTCTTATTCTAATTATTGATGATCACTTTAGGAAAATTTAGCAGCTGAATTACAGTGACTAATAGCCTACTTTTCCTACTTAACTCCCAAAGATTCTAATATAAATGTAGTGAAACGTTCAATAATGACTCATAAATAACTTGGTCTCAAAGTGAAAAATAATTCAGTAATAAAAGTTAGTCTATTATTTATTATATTCATAGCTCTACTGCACATATTAGAAACATTTTCTGTAACTGTTATTAAACTTATTATAACAGTAATATGACAACTAGGTAAAACCAAAAACTGTTCCCGAATCCTTCATTCTATCCTCTCTATTCCAGTACAAACTCCCTTCTTGTATGTAAAATTCAGCAAAATTATACTTACAGACCCGTCGAGGGTCACTCATACGTATCTAAAATTGAAAAGGACAGAATTTTTTAATATAGATGATAAAAATGATGTAATGTAAAATGTAAACTCTGAGATTTTTTAGTTAATTGAATGTACAAAATATTTGTAACTGGTAATGTCATGAAACTATGTCTGTATTTATAAATCCGTACAGCCAGTTGAATCCTGTTTAATTATAAAATATAAATATTTATCACATACGATTTGCTTTGTTTTATTTTTTTCTTCTACCATTAGTTACAAGATAGCACCTAAAGATGGAGAACCAGAAAGAGTAATGTAGTTCCTACCATATACTTTATCTTTATGTCGTTTGTACATAAAATATATAAAAAAAAATAATAAGAATCTTTAATTAATGTAATAAAAACATAATAAAATGATATCTCGACATATGTATTTGCCAATAAAGTTGTGGCATACTAATTGTAAATCCTCTCCATTTGAAGTCACGATGAAGAGTCACGAAAAATTAAGAAAATGTCACTTGTATCTTAAAAAAGTTTTCACCACCCGGCCACAACGCATATGTTTGACATTAATGTAAGATAGGCTTAACGTAAACCTGGTAACTATGTCAAATATGTCAATGTCAAGTCAACACCACTTCCCAACGGGGACAATGGGCGACATGATCATGTTGTAATGTATGAATATTATTAATATATGTTCAGCCAATACAGTAGTTTAATTGAGACCTTATTAACATACTTTAAACAGCGTATACTAACGTTCGCTTGGGGTAACCTCTCTAGAACCGTCTGACTTCCACAGCGTAGAGTATTACCTTGGAAATTTTCGCCAGTAGTAACTGTATCGATGACCTCCACCGGATAAAACCTTTGTAATGATCTCAGAAGTTGCCCTTGTGCAATCGCAAGCTGAACAAACCTTATCTGGTCATCAATACCAGGTATAAGTTCAATAACTTCCTAAAGGCCACTGCCCAAACAGCACAAGTACGTCCCATGGACGTCCAAAGGATGTACCTCATTAAATGTCCGGACATCCCACGGACATCCGTTTACATAATTTGGACGTCCCCGGGACGTCCAATAAGAACTAAATGTTACCAAAAAGTACGTCCCCTGGACGTCCCAGGGATGTTCATGGGGACGTACATAGTACATATACAGAACTTAATACGGACTTATATAGGACCTAAGAAGGATGTATTGGGGACATCTATTGTACGTCCACATGGACTAATATAGGACCTAAATGAGGATGTATACAGGACCTAAAGGGAACTTAAAATTAATAAAATGAAAAGCAAAAATAAATGGGATTTTTATTGTGTACTTATATTAACATATGTATTTAAATTTATAGTATTTTTTAAGCACATTACTTCTACTTACTTTACAAATGTAGCAACACACCACAACCACAAAAATTACCTATAAAAGTCCTATATACCTACTTAATGTCTATAATAATAAATTACCAAACTATAAACTAGTATCGAAAGCAATAAACTAATTCTAATTACAACCACAACCACAATGATTATAATTCGAGAAATAAACGAGATAAAATAGAAGCGTCGTTAAAACATAACCACATTCTTCTTTTATCTCCTAATTTTTAAATTTCAGTTCCACTACAGAACAAAATTTTAGAGATACAGCTCTGCTATAGGATAAAGATTTTTCTCTAAAAGGAGCCTCTGTCTATTTTCGTATAAATTAATGGTATTTAAAACTAAATATAACTTTTTAAAATAAAGTTCAGTAGGAAGATTATATTTTGTTAAAAATATGCTTAAGTAAAAAAATGACACAGTTAACACCTAGAAAACGTCCCTAATACATCCCTAATGGGACGTCCCTTGGACGACCTTATGGGACGTCTCTGGTATGTCCGACTAGAAATATCCCTTGGACGTCCCTCGGACGTCCAAAAGAAGTCCCGGGACGTTTGGACCTTAAAACGACATAAAATGGACGTCCCAGGGATGTCCTGTGCTGTCTGGGTGAAGACTCTTGAGGTTGTCCTATTGCCGACTAAAACAACATCTCCGATAGACACTTACTATAGACACCTGGCTTCTTCGTTCCTGCTTTGATTTGAGCCAGATATTCAGCACGAAATCTTTTTCGCAAATGATCTCTCAACTCTTGTAATACGCCGTATTTTGCGTGTGAGAGAATTCTGCTCTAGCAAATCACATTTTAAGTCTATGACATTCTGCAATAATTGTTGGATAGCCCAAAATTTGACGAAATGCCCCTGAAGATGCTCTAGGAAGCGAAAGTACTTGGGCAAGATTAAATTAATAAAAGAGTGTTCGATATCTGCTTTTTATTTTATTAAAGTTTATTTATTCGAGCAGTCAACCTTATATCAATTTAAAACGAATTTATACACTATAAAATGTTCACCTGGAAGTAAGATAGGCAGACGAAAATTTTCCGTGTCAAGTCTCTCAGTAACGGGAGTTTTTAAACGTCCAAATTCATTGGCAAACGTGTATAGCAAGGAAATTCGTTTCGTATCTGAACCGAACGCTTCGTTCAGTACTAACTTCAATACGAATATTTCGGCTTGATCGATTTCCTCAGCGACCAATTCACCTATCATACATTTTTCACCTGTACACCAGCCCTCAGCTGGAGAGACGATACGCTGATTAGGAACTTTTTTAAATAAACATATTAAACAGTTACTCGACATTTACATTTAATACATTTTTTAAATGTGTTTCTCTTTTCAAATTAGTAAATAATTTCTTAATAGGTTTAAGTATCTTTTTCTGTTCTGATCGAATATTTAAAAATTAAAATATTTACTAATGTCATGTTATTATTATATTTTTAATCAAGTTGAAGACACACTAATTAAATTTTTATTTTTTACCTTTGCCATCTGTTGAGAGAAATCTAAACTTCAAGCCTAGATCCGAATAATTTCTGACTCAGAGCTTCTCCAAAAGCCAAAGTGTTACGGATTGACCAATAGAGGGTGCAAATAAGGTAATTTACTATAATAATAGAATAATATTGGACAAATAATTTTTAAGTTGATTGATATGACGAAACTTAATATGTAGGCAGTGCCAACCTACACCGTTATAGATATTATAGATTTTTTTAATATTTAATTTAATCAGTATTTCGGTAATTAATTGTGGCAGGTAATCAGTTGATATCATTTGTTTCTGTGAAAAAAAATATCTGTGAGATAATAAAGACTAAATTTTATTAATGGTTTTTAAAAGAATTCGTCTAATCTAAGCGTTAAGTGATCCCTGCGTAATACACTTTTCAATTTAATGATCCGAAATCGGAGACATCCATCCACCTGTTTGAATTCTTAAAAAGACACGTTTTGGGGTTTCGACATGCCGATCTCAAGCTTCACGATTTACATGTAAAAATCAACGGAATAATCAAAGTAATTTCCAAAAAAAAACTAAAAAATTTCCAAGGTATTTATTAGACAGGTTAACCAAAAATTATCCATCATTCTTTAATACAATAAAATTAGAAAATGAATTAAAAGTTATAATTATATGCTGATCTAAATATTTTCGGAAGGAATGATAAGTTACAAGGATATCATTGATGGTTCTTCATCCAGACAACCTGAGTTTAGCAGATGACAAAGATGAAGACACCGCAGACGACAGGCAGCCAAACGCCGACAAGATTTTCAATGTATATGGCAAGCGGAATAATTTTATACAGTAGGCTTCATTGGTTAGGTATACGACTAGGTTTTTAATTTTTGTTGTTTAAGCATAACTTTTTGTCCTTTTCAGATTGCTTTTGAATAAGGCAAAAACTGATGACGTTCTGAAAGTGAAACGATAGACAGACAGCTGAAAAACATCATTGTCAAAGGAAAACACAGAAAAAATAGAAGATTTTCCTTTATTATGTATTTACAAATAAAAGAAAACATTACGAAATCACCTCATAGTATTTTTTAATACCAACTTAATACCAAATTGTTGGACCACAGGTTTCTACATGCCGAACTGCTGTATAAAGCCTTAGATTATCTGGATTGAGATTCTTCAAGAGATTTTAGTCACTTTTGTTATCTTTAGATTAAATTGCTACGTCTATTCTTAGTTCCACTCTATTTTATTATCTCCATTAATCTTTCATTTCTCCAAACCACCACTTTTAACGTATACAACCATACATTTTTAAAAGATAAATACAGGAAAAGAGAGAGTAAATGTATTACCAAAAAATTACATATTGTGTGATTATATTTATATTTAAACAATTTTTATTTAAGCAATTAATATATTATAAAAATATTAATTAATAACTAAAAATACAGCATATAAATAAATATTAAAAATCTTAAAGGTAAAATGGTTTACGCTAACTTCGTTAGTTCGTATTTATTTAGCTGTGCCATTATAAATTGGAAAAATCCTAAAATCGCAAACGAGAAACTTAAGGGGAACCATCCTGCTTTGATCCAAGCCCAGAAAGTTAATCTGAAACAACGGTTTTAGTAAATCAATATTGCCAACTAAAACATCGGGCATAAATACAAATATCTATTTAATAAATTAAAATTAATACTAAGAACTATAATTTAAATGGAATGTAAATGCACATTGTAAACTGTAAAATTACTTCTTTCGCACCTACATTCAATTTTCAATGACTGTGTAACGAAATTTAATTAAGTATCAGAGATTTAAGTATCCCAATTCAGTTTAAACATTTAAAATCTTATTAATAACATTAAACGAGTACGTGAGATCATTCATAGATGAAGACAGAGAAAATTTTGACGTGTGTTGCAGAATGTTCACACACTGCTACAACACAACCCCTAACGTGTATCATGGATATACACAGTTCGAATTGCTGTATGACAGGAAAGTAAACTAACTCGAAGACCTTACATGAGACGTTCAACCACGTTACAACATAGATGCCTACTACAATGAGTTACGCTATAAACTACAATTCCCATAGGAGAGAGCTAACACCTTCTTATTAAAGCACAAAAAGGAGCGACAGAAAACAAATAAGTCAAAAACGACGCCACAACACTTCGAAATAGGAGACTTAGTACTGGTCAAAAGAGAAGAGAATTGTAAGCTTGATAGGCTTTATGCAGGTCATTTCATAATATATCATCATCTTTGGCTCGACAATCCTCTGTGGATCTTGGCCTGCTCTAAGATTCGTCGCCATTCTGTTCGGTTTTTGGCAACATGTTGCCTTCTTCTGATTTTTAACATTCGTAAGTCGGTTTCAACTTCATCTAACCACCTAATTCGCGGTCGGCCTTTGCTTCTTTTTCCTACAGGTGTTCCTGTGGTTAGCTTTTTAGCAATCGTATTTTCTGGCATTCGTATTATGTGTCCAGCCTATCTAAGTCGCTGTGTTTTAATGAACGTTATGACATCTGGCTCATCAAAGAGCTGATACAATTCAAAATTATATCTTCTGTGCCACTGCCCTTGGTCGTTTACAGCTCCAAATATTTTGCGGAGTATTTTACGTTCAAATATTCCCAAAAGTCTTTCATTTCTCTGCGTTAGAGTCCATGTTTATGCTCCATATGTGAGGACCGGCCTCAGAAATGTTTTGTATATAATAATTTTAGTTCTTCTTTGAATGTTTCTTGAGTGTAGATGCTTTTGGAGCCCATAGTATGCCCTATTTGTAAGATTTATTCGTCTTTTGATTTCTTCGCTTGTTTTATTGGTAGCAGTCAATAGCGACCCAAGGTATGTGAAGTTGTCAACACGTCCAAAGACTGTTTCTCGTTCCTCATTTGCTATCGGATCCATTGTAACCAACATGTACTTGGTTTTGTCTTCCTTGATGACTAGACCGCTGTTTCCAATTCTAGGATATATTGCTCAACATCTCGCTTGCTACGCCCTACTATGTCAATGTCATCAGCATATGCTAAGACTTGTATCGATCTATTGTAAATAGTACCGCTATCCCTAATTCGTGTATCCCGGACTGCCTTTTCTAAGGCAATCAAAATTTTGATTGCCTTTACCTTTACTAGGTAGTGGTCGCGTATCTTGTCGGGCTATCACATAGTCTATAATGGATTTCAAATTTCTTGATTGTTGGACTTAAGTGAATTTATGTATTTCTCGGTGCTAGAAAAAGCTGTTAAGTATTCTCGGGTTGTTTTGTTTACATATATGAGGCTTTCGAAAAGAATAAATACCAGACTGGGAGGATAATGCACAAGTTTTGTACAGTAAATTCCAAGAGCTAGAAAACCCGGATATAGCTGATGAGTTATTATCATTATTAGATCAAAAAAAGAAAACATAAATGGATACATACAACAACAAAACTAGGCTTCCAACATTCTAGTAGGAAAGCTTGGAATATGTTGAGAAAACTTGGTGGATTGGTGCTAACAAACAACGTGTCAGGCTAATTTAATCCAGACCAAATGATCGCCAGAATTGATAACTTAACCCGATATCTATCTTATAAAGCACATACAGCGAAGATTAAACAAGAACATGGAAATCTCAAAAAGAAAAGTCAAGAGCTATACAGTTTCCCTCATGATTTTGGAACAGAGGAGATAAAAATGGCAATCATAGATAGACTTAAAACCAAGCAAAGCCCTTGCATTTGGCTGCACAATAAACTTTTGACTAAAATGTGACTTAAAGCAAGATATGGGTATCTAATTTGTTTGTTTACATCAGAGAACTATGAACACACGAACTGTGTTCGTAAATCTCTGGTTTACATTCCCACACCCCCTAGACCAAGGGAAATTTCTTGATAAGATGTGTCCTTCTATGAAAGTCAATATTCATTGATTCAAGGCAACCAAATTATATGCTTTAAACATAATTAGAAAAGTACTATAAACTACAAGTAATCTGGCATATACTGTAGGTACTTTATAATATAAACTTACTCATAGTTCTTTGCTTTCTCGTAAAACGGTGTGGTGTCGATGATCCCGGCATTGGATATAAAAATATGGTTAACAAGTTGATCATAAATATCCGTTTTCATATGTTCAATTTTGTGAACCACTCCAGCTCCTTTAAGGACCTAAAATAGAACACAAAAGAATAATATGTTTGCATCTATTTTGTCTTGTAAAAATAGAGTAGTTGTAACGAAAATCAGCTCAGGTGGTAACAAGCTGATCAGCTACATGTATTATCTACTTTAATTCAAATACATAAAATTTCTCAAAAAATTTTTACTTATTATTAATTAAAAAATTAAAAAATCGGAAGTCATGCGGACCACAAGGTATACCAAATGAATTATTAAAACATAGCCCACATGTATTACGGGAATTACTGACGTATGTCTTCACCTTATTCTATAATGGACATGACTTACCACCGGAGTGGACAAAAGCACATATTAACAACATCTACAAAAAAGGAGATAGAAAGAATTGTTCAAACTACAGGGGGCTAAGTGTCATAAATTCACTCTCAAGACTGTATCGAAAAATAATAAAAAATAAAATTGAAAAAGAGATGACAGATGTAGAAGAACAGAATGGCTTTCGTGCAAGCAGATCCTGCGTGGACAGTATATTCTCTCTAAAGCAAGTTATCGAGAAAAGATTAGCCCACAACCTTTCAACTCATATAGATCTGACAAAGGCATACGATAGTGTACCACTTTCAATGCTTTGGGTAGCAATGGAAAAACAAGGAATAAGCAAAAAAAATATACAAGCAGTACAACAGCTCTAACAAAATATGACGGCAAACATTAAAACTGGAAATAGATTAACTAGAGAAATTCCTATTAGTAAGGGCCTAAAGCAAGGCTGCTGCATAGCACCTACACTCTTCAAAATATATCAAAATGAGGCTCTCTGACTGAGGAGAAGAAAGTGCTGCAATATGGGCATCCCAATCGGAGATGATAGATTGTACACGATACATTTCGCAGACGACCAAGCCATTCTAGCTGAAGACGAGAGTGATATAAGCTACATGCTTAGAAAACTGGAAGATGAGTACACCAAATGGGGCCTCACAATTAATATACAAAAAACTGAGTACTTAGTTGTAGGAGAAAAACCAGAAAGCCTACAAATCGAAATGGGAGCTATAAAACCAAAAGACAATCTTAAGTACTTAGGAGTCCAAATAACATCAAAAGCAGGAATTAGCGAAGAAATACATTCCAGGATTGGCCAAGCAAGATCAGCCACCAGACAGCTACATGGACTATTATGGAATAAAAAAATAACAAAAGAAAAAAAAAGAAGAATTTATAATAATAGAAAGTATTGGACTGTACGGCGCCGAACTCTGGGAAATAAACCAAAGAAACAAATCAAAAATTAAGGCCATGGAAATGAACTACTGGAGACGATGTTGCCAGCTCACTAAAGTTGATAGGGTGAGAAACGAAGATATTCGGAGACAAATGGAAATCGATCTAGACATAAGACACAATCGAAGCCAAAAGACTTAACTGGTATGGACACCTTCAGAGAATGCCGGAAAATAGATGACCAAAAAAAAAATAGAAGAAAGGACTCCGCCAACTAGAAGAAAACGAGGTAGACCAAGACGATCCTGGAGAGACAATGTCGACGATGCAATGACGCCATAGATCTAACAACTGAAGATTGATTCGACAGAAAACGCTGGAAATTAGGATGTGAGAAGCGGCGCCAGCCGTAGAAGACTCGCTTGTTATATATTATATATTAATTAAAATAAGCACAACACAAATTTAATACTTTATTGTATTATGCAGATGTGTCTCTAGTTGACCGTAAGAATGGAATAGTTTGACTTCGGGAAAGCCATATTCTAAATCCAGATAAACAGGTAGTTACCTAGATGGATCGACAAAAAGGATAAGGGTGCAATATCCTCAAAAAATTTTCTTCTAATCAGCATGAAATGGCGTTTAGTAAAAAACGGCCAAAAGTACAAAGCAATTTACGAATTTCAAGTTAGTGATTACTCGGGAACTAAAAAAACCCATGAAAAAAGAAAACTTTTGTATCGAGTTTTGATAAATTACGACTGCCGACATTATGACAGTAAACTACAAAATGAGAGCAAGACCGAGGATTCGGTTCTTATTATGAATCTCTGGACTAATTAAAATTTTGAGTGGTGACATATAGACGGCTTTATTAGCCCTTTAGGGCAAGAGAATACATTCGTAGTAATTTTTATCTCAATTACACTCAGACAAAATCGATAAAAGATAAACTAAAAAGGGGAGAAATTTACAAATAAATCGTAGTGCTCGGCGATATTTCGCATTTTTCTAAATAGGCTATAGAAAATGTCACACCGAGAGTGCAGTACGGCTAACATAGGAATGCACAATTGCCGGATTTCATATTGATAAAATAATTGCCTTTAAGTAGCCAAATAAGAGGCATGAATTTGAATAAAAAGACCTTAAGTTTTTAGCGAGAATTTTATTACAAAACTGTAACTAGATTTCCGTGCACCCAGCCCAATATCCAAGAAAAACTTTTTCTTTTGTAAATATGTGAAAAATTATCAGGAACGGGAATATCGAAAAAGCTTTGGACATTTTTTAATCCCAGCGATGTTATTAAAAAACAAGTTGCGCACTTGAATCACTGCAAAATTTTAACACCTACTATGAAATTTTTTTTGTGGAAATCGGAAAACTTCCGGGAACTCGATTTCCGTGCACCCAGCCCAATATCCGAAAAGCCCATACTCTGATTGGACTGGTAAATGCATTTTATTGGTTATACAGTGTAAAATAATCGAGGTTACTCACAGATATTCAATTAATTATACTAAAGTTGTCCTCTACATCCGAGATGTCAGATTCGCTTTCGCTACTCTCCCCTGTGTTCGCGTGTATTATTAATTTGTCTACGTCATCTTGCAGGTTGTCCGCAGTCCACATCTCAGTTTCCGTTTTCACAACAACATGAGTGACATAATTGCGTCAATTTTGCTCTGTGACGCGTGCGAAACCATCGTCGATCAACTGGCGTACCTCGTCGTTTTTAAAAGTGGTATTATGGGTACCTACATATCGTTTAACTTGGTTCCACACCATTTCTATAGGATTCAATTCGCAGTGATATGGAGGAAGCCTTAAAATATAAACATTATGTTGTGAAGCATACTCACCAAGATGATACTTATCGTATTGATCTTTAAAAGCGCGCGCTGCTTCTAATAGCTCGGATTTCAAATAACACTCCTCGAAAAAAATGTCTCCATCATTTTTCTTTGCCAGAAAATCACGCTGTGTGCCAGGAGGAAACCTCCTGAAAAACCTGCATGCAATAAAACATATCGTGGACCTCGCTTTTATGCCAGTACTTAAACCTTTAAGAAAAGCATCACGACTGTTTTGTATCGTAGTATCGCACCATTCGTAATTTATAGATTGTCCAACATTAACCCACGATTCGTCCAAATATATGATATTGCAATGGTCTTTTCGCAAAAGTCGTATAGTTCTCAAATAATTATGGCGCCAATTAATAATATCCTCTCGCTTCACAATGATGCCTCTTCGGCCACGTTTCTTATAAACAAATCCAATATCTTATCCAAAGTCTGTATAAAGTAGAAAGATACAACGGTTGTATATTTTTATTACCTTGTATGAAGTTATGTATATGCTTTAAGAATGGCGGCAAATTTTTTATGAAAAATTCACAATGAACAATTCTCCGTAGAATACTTCTTACACCCTCGTCATATGTAAATATTCTAGAATTTGATTGAAACACTCGTTTTTTACGTTTTTTTTTTGGCGATTTCAACGTTCCACTCTGTTCTTTTTCTTTTTTGAATTTGTAAATGCTTCTTTCGCTAACACCACTCATCAACGAAGTACGTCTTACAGCAGCACTTACATTAAGTTGTTCCGTATTTTGTTAAAAACACAACACATTTAATACTACGAGTTTAGCGCAACTGTTAAATAATTCACCGGATTTAAACTTATGGGACTCCATGCCCTCTGTTGAAACTCGGACTAAATTTTGAAGTGTAGTTTCGTTTTCCAAAAGCACTTTCACCCCCTACCAATCCTTAGGATGGGTAGGGGATGAAATAGGGAAAGCTTGGAGTTTATCAAATACTACTTATGACAAACAAGTTTATGGCCATATTTAGATGATTATGTTAAAGATGGTAATTTGTAGCAGAAGTTTTACAAAAGAAATGAAGACCTATTTATAGAAACAATATAACTGTATTTTTAATATTTTACATAAAATAGAAGAAATCTAATTTCTATGAAAGAATTGGAAAAGTGAATATTATATATAATATCTATAAATAATATCATTTCCAAGTTTCCAAATTCTTTCCTAGAAATTATGTAGGTTTTTTCTATTTTATGTAAAACATTAAAACTACAGTTATTATATGTTGTTCTTGTAAAGAGGTGTTCAAATGTTACTCTTATGAATATGATTCAATTGTATATCTCATGTTAACGTTTTATATGCAAAATTCATAGTTTTGGTTGTCAATAACTCATCAATGCCTTTTTATTGTACTGTATACGTATACACGATATAAAATATTTTACTCGTACTGCCGGCAGATGCATTTTATACAAGTCGGTCCTGTGAGACAATGAGGAATCAGCAGCTGGAGAAAACTGACAACCCTGCGCGTTTATTCTCCATAAGAAAAGCATTGCTGTATCTTACCCCTACTGCACTCTCAGTGTGACATTTTCTATAGACTCACACAGGGTTAAATGATATGGTAACTAAAGAAACGGCATGTAACGGTGGCATGGCTTGGTACAATACAGTCGAAAGTTTCAAATTTAAGAAAAATTGAATTGTTACATATTGACAGTGGTGGGCAGATAATAAGAAAGAACACCCCAATGAGCAGGAGATTGTGAGTGATATATATGAGAGAATAACAATTAAGGTTAAAGCAGGTGAAACAGAGAATAATAAATTTCATGTGAAAGTAGAATTGCATTAAAAGTCAGTGGTTAGTTCATATTTATTCTCATTATTGTTAAATCAAATACCAAGTAAACTACAGGTTAACATTTCCTGATACTTAATGTATGATGTAGATGAAGTATTAGTCGATGATTAAAGCAAAATTCTATAAAACTGACTAAGAATGTTTAGATGGATGACAGAGGTGGCAAAAAATATTGGACATATTAGGAAAACTAGCCACAAGTACTAATTGCTCTTAAAATGGGCGGCATAAGTTAAGATGAATTAAACATGTTAAATGTTCAAATTGTAATTATTTAATATAGAAAATGGCTGAATTGCAATTTCTTGAAAGTAGTAGGAGACGAAGACAATATTTTATGTGGAAGACGCTTAGGCAGGATATGGCAGTCAAGAAAATTTATATTGGTATAACCCAAGATAAAGACCCAGGTCAATAAGAGTATAAACCAAGAGGTGTAATTATAGAAACCGATCCTAAATAGATATAAGGTCATATAGAATAATAAGTAAAGTAATAAACTTTTGTTTGAATAAGATATTACGAGAATAGTAACATTATCTAAGCTACGAACTATTTTCAAAAGAAAAGGTTATATAAAAATGTACTGTTACAGTAAAAATAATCATTATTTTTGAAAATTTGTTCAATTTATAAATACTCTATACAGTTTTTTTAAGGTACCTTTCCAAATATAACATTTTTTCCATCCAACCATGGACACGCCATTGTGGTTATTAGGAACTGGCAACCATTTGTATCAGGACCTGTAACAGTAATAGAATCTGACTTATGATATGAATTAATATTATTAGAAATATCGCAGTGAAATATTTTCTAGAAAATGCTTAATAATCCGGGTCTTACGTTTCGATTTATAACCAATTTTCTTCTATCTATCTCTCTAAATTGCTTATATATTTTACTTAAACTGAAAGATAAATAAAAATTATCAAATAATTTCTTCTTTTTGTTGTACCACTCTTAGACATGTGATCTGCTTGTGATTGCCCATCTAAGCTGTCATATGTCCAACACCAGTGACGTTGTGAGTCTGTATAAGTTGTCATCGAGAATACTCCTATTTGGTAGGTAGCGCTAAGGTTTTAAAATTATTTTATAAAAAAAATAGTACCTACCTACGTTGGCCATAGCCAGCAAACCAGCAGATTCATGTTTTATTAGAAAGGTTTCGTCATCAAAGTATTCACCATAAATACTCACTGACCCAGTACCATCGTTGTTCACGATATCACCACCTGAAACATAAGTTTTGATATGATTGTTCATTGTCATACTGCTCACATTTAGTGTTGCCCAAAATCAGTCTTGGGCTTGTTCTTGCGTTTTTGAAAGACCAAGACCAAGACCGCCTAATTTTAGCAAGACCAAGACCAAGACTGACCTTGCAAGATTTAAGCAAGAACAAGACTAAGCCTGTGAGACTCTTGCGTCTTGCAGTTAGGACTGAGTGTCGTTTTAGCGAGTATAGTAATTCCGGTATATTCTTAAAGACTCTATAAGACGCAAAAAAATATGTAATAAAAATTAACCACATTCGTCAAATAATATAAACAGAAATTTGTAAAAATAGTGTAACCCATGTGGGTTAGATTCTTGTTGCAAATCTTTGTAAGGGTCTTTTCATTGTGTTCACCAGATGCAAAATATTTTGACTTATTAAAAGACAAGAAATTTATTATTACACCAATATTAGAATTTTATTTAAATAAATAAAATTACACGAAACTAGAAACTTTATCTTTAATGGTAAAATACGGATGTATATTATTTAAAACTGTGAATTTTCTCTGTTGTCAGCTCGGCAATTGATTAAAGAAATTTTTAAATTCCTTGTACCGAAAAGATATGTTTTGCGATTACTCGAATGTTGGTGCCACAAATGCCGACAAAAAATTATATTATCAAAAATAAGGAAACCATTCATTGTTCATTATATAAAATATTGGAACTGTTGCTTAATAGTCAAAATTCTGCTGAGTGTACAATGACATCATTCTATTAAACAAAATTTGCTGAAAGTGCGCGGCTAATATGTATTTAAAAGTAACGAGATAAATTAATAACAGATAATGTCGCCTACCGTGTAAACAAAATACCGAAATATTTAGAATAACGAAATAATGATATATAATTCTCGGTTTCTTATTAGATACTTAGGGTATTGGATAGTAACGGAAATAAAGTAACTATAAAAAATTAGTAGTAGTTACTTTTTCGACATCACTAAACTTCATTCCCAATTCAGCTTTTTTTTGATTCTAATATAATAATAATTGTTTTTCATCTAATCCTTGTTGTTATCGGAGTGATAAGTTTACAATTTGACATGAGGCACAAAGATTCAAATAGATCTAGTCGGAGTAGTGAGCGTTGGAATTATAGATCTGAAAGACCTAAAAGCAAATTTGATGAGTTTTTCGAAATAATTCATGCATCCCAAATTGCTTTGTGTAAATTATGCCTACATAGAAAGATTCGAATGAAAATGAAAAACAGATACACGTCAGGTTTTAGGATGCATCTAATATCTTTTCACAAAAAGGAATTACAAATATTTTTTCCTGAAAAACCAAAGTTCGGTGGAGATACCACAAGCTTATATTAGCTTGTGATATCAAGCTTAGATACATATATTATGTACCTACTCCTTTATTTTGGCAAATTAATGTAATTATTAAGTAGATATTTCCTTAATTTAAAATAATTTCTTTTGATTATCATTGCTAAATTCTTTATTCTTCCAAGTTAGTTTTTTATATAAAAGTTGAGCTAAGATTGTTAAAAACATTTATATTGCTTTAATAAGTGAAATATAGTTTGTTATCTTATTACCCAAATAATCTGTGCCCTTGATAACTGTATGTGGATTTTTTGCCACTTTCCATTTCTAGGCAGAAAATGTTCTTTAAAATACAGTCAAGTTTATGTCATTAAATTGTTTTCTTTTGTAATTTAATCATGTTTTAGCTCATGTAAGTTTATTAAATGCACACAATTATTAAGAAACGGATTGACTTCCGTGGTGCATAGTAGATAGATGAGTTAGTTAGAGCATAGGTATGGATCGCTTAGATCGTGGCTTCAAAACCTACCCGGTGTCAGTTGTTTAGACATTTATTAATTTAGTTGGTCTTTATTATGGGTATGTTAAGATTTAAAGTAAAGTTTAATAAATAGCAATAGGCTAATGGGTAACTGCAAGACTTGCAAGACTCTTGCTGCAAGACCAAGACCGGGAGTGCAATACCAAGACCAAGACCAAGACCAGGTGTATTGATGAAAGACCAAGACTGTCCAAGTCTCGTCTTGTTCTTGCATTTGGGCAACACAACTCACATTATTGTGGGATTGCTATGGGAAACCCGTTAGAATACATTGAAGAATTAATAATTTATCGTTTTGTTTACTAAGCTGTGATAAAAGTGATTTGTTTCCGTATTTGTTGTACGTGGTGAGGTACCATTTTGTCTAGTATCAAAGTTATTGATCAACATGACAGAAAAATTGATTTAAACTTAGCTAGAAGACAGGAAAAAAAACATAGATGCTACAAAAAACAACGCGATACAGTAGAACTTGGATATTACGTCCTCGGTAGTTACGTTATCTCAGTTGTAACGTCAATTTTTAGTAGACCCGCCAAAAACTATTCGATTTAACCGATATAAGGTTCGAACTTATCGAACATTATTAAAAACCCAGTTTTATCCGCCAAAAATAAAGTAATCCTCGTCTATAACGTCATAAAATTTTACAGTAGGCTGTCGTTTTTTATTTTATGAACAATAAAAGAATGCAAAAGAACAGAAAGTGCAATGCGTTTGCACATTGTTCCTTTCAATAAAGTGAGAAAGTCAGATTATACCTTCTGTGTACAGTTATGTGACTTTGGCAGTTCTATTTGTGAAGATTTCACATGCTCTAATGGCTGGCTAGATCGGTTTATAGCCTGGAACTCAATTTCCTTTACGAAAATTGTTGGAGAGGCAAAATGTGTGGACGAGAACGTGACAAGTGACTGGCTACAAACCACATGGCTACAACAGAGGTAACCATACAAAGATGAAGATAGCTTTAATGGCAATGAAACTGGTGTCTTTTACAAATCAACGACAGACAAAAATTTTAATTTCAAAAGCCAAAAATATGTCTGTGGAAAGCATTCAAAACAAAGAGTCACAGTTTATGTTTGTGCAAACATGACAGGTACAGAGAAAAGAAAGCTGTTGGTTATTGGGAAAAGTTTACATCCTAGATGATTCAAAAACATACAAACCTTGTCTGTAAACTACACAGCCAACAAAAAAGCATGGATGACAAAAAAGCAAGGAAAATTCTTCTCTTAGTTGACAAGTGTGAATAAATCCCAAGCTTATTTTAACCAATATCAACCTAGTTTTCTCACCAGCCAACTGCATGAGTGACTTGCAGCCTATGGACTAAGGAGTCATAGGAAGTTTAAAGTGCCATTATCGAGAACAGCTTTTGAAAAGGATGATTTTTTTGTATGGACAATGGGTAGCCTGCGAACATTACCATCCTTGATGCAGTTTAGTTTTTAGACAGTGCGTGGAGTGCGGTTACGTCAGTGACAATTTGTAAGTGTTTTCGTCAAGCTAAATTGACTGTAGTTTCTTCCAATGTTCAGAATGTTGACGAGGATGACGAAATGCCTTTGTCAGAGTGAATACAAACATTTAATGTAAACCAGAGAGAGTTTGAAATTGATCTTGGCTCCTACATTTCAGTAGACGATCAGGTAGAAACATTTCAAGTTTTAAGTATGTAATGTAGAAATGCTGGAATAAGTCCAAAATGTGAAAATGGATTTTAATAAAGATAATGAAGAAGAAAAAGAAGACGGCTTTGATTGTCCTACGAGCCAAGAAGCAATGAGAGCTGCTGAGACCACATCCAGGTTTTACCAGTTCAGTTCAGATTATTAAGGACACTACAGAAAAACTTTATTTTTCGAAAAGGGTTGTGCAGACGAAAATAACCGACTTTTTCAGTATTAGAGAACTTTTTTATAAAAAATGTGAGTGTTATATACAGGATATGTTTTATTTTTTAATTTTTTTTATCCTAATTGCAGCTGTAATAATAAATAATGCTGTAATAAAATGTTTTCTCGTTAAAATTTTATTTTTTCTACCTCTTTTATAACGTCATTCTGATATAGCATCATTTTTTTACTGGACCCTTCAATGATGCTATAACCAAGTACATGAAATTATTTCAATACATAGGTGAAAATAGGTTAGTGAAGAAAGGAATAAAAACAGAAGCAATAGGTAAAAGAACAGAAGATAAGGCAGACCAAGAAAGGAAAAATAATAGAGGAACTGGGAGCAAAAAACAGTAAAAATTTTCAAGAAATAAAACTATTGAGAAAGAATTATAAAGAATAAAGAAAGTTGATTAAGAGTTAATATATAATTAAGATTGCGGTTAATCCTGAAAGCGAACCGTCAATAAACAAATAATATAAGTTGTAATAATAAACAAAATTAATTACGAACAATTCATTTTACAAATCATGGCCAATTTTAAGATAAGCTACGTTCTCTGATAGTGATGCTCATTTACCTTGAATCATTACTTTTCGGAGAGCCGTGTGGAATTTGGTGCCAACGTACGTTTTCCCATTAACTCCGTTTTTTACAAGTTCCTTAAAATTTTTACATGTTTTTGGAGCTACTTCCCCGAATAATCCAAGCACTATTCTTCCTAGGAATTCATCTTCAACTTGAATATCGAAATACACTTGATCTGTTATTTTATATTCAGATCCCTAAAATAAATTAAATATAACTATATCATATTCATACAAAAAAACATACACAAAATAATTTATAAATTCATCTTAAAATTCTTACCCATCTAACCTATTAACTGTTTCATATTCGAACAAAAAAGCGTAACTAATATTCATGCAAACTAATTTTCCTCACCTGAACATAACTCGCAATCACAAGCAGCAAAACAATACGAATATTAAGAGTATTTAAACCCATTTTTTACACCTCGTCAATTCTACCAGACGAGAACAACTTATCTTTTATGCCTTTAGGTCGATGAGGTTTTTAATCGATTTTATGCAAACATAACTTGTTAATTTAATTAGGGGCATTAGTTGCGCTCATATACTGAATCTAGTTAATAAACCGTGGCATTTTGGTTGGCAGACTTTTTTAAATAAGAATTATTATTGCTGACTTTATTATAGTAATTTATGCAACAAGTACAAAGACAGGATTTTTTTCAGGATCACGAGTTGACAGCACGATTTGTTAGGCGAGTGACAATGAGTAAAATATACATAATGTTGTATTCAATATTTTTTCTATCTATCTATATATCTGTCTATAGCCCAAAATCTATTCATGTGTTGAATAGAGTCCACTCCCATTTGTCTCTGTCTTCTGTTTTTCTTTTTCACATTGCACCTGCGCTTTGCTCAATGTCATCTTTCCATCTCATTTGCGGTCTACCTCTTGACCTTTTTCAATGTATGTTCGACAGCGTCTGTTGTTTCGGTTTTGCATCTTATCCACTCGTTCCTTTTTTTATCTCTCAACGATATTCCCAACATTTGTCTTTGCATAGCTCTTTGAGTTTTCTTTATTCTATCTAAGTTGCTCTTGGTACACGTCCACGTCTGGGCACCATATGTCAGAACAGGCAGGACGCATGCATTAAATACTAATTTTAAAGGTATTTTTTGGTTTTTGATAGTATATGAGAGTTTTCCGAATGCAGCCCACCCCATTCTTATTCTTCTGGTTATTTCTTAAGTCTGGTTACTTTTGTCTGCTCTGATAGCTTGTCCTAAGTAAATATATTATTGGATGTGTTCTATGTTTGTTCCACCTATGGTAACTACTGATCTGTCTTCTGTATTAGTCATTATTTTAGTTTTCTTTAGATTCATTTTTAGTCCTTTCTCAAGAGATGTTTTTTCTAGCTCTGAAATCATTATTCGTAGTTGTTCCATAGTTGTTGTTATCAGGAGTACATCATCGGCGAATCTTAGATGATTTAAATATTTCCTGTTTATACAAATCCCTTTATTGTCCCAGTCTATAGATTTAAAAATGTTTAAATAGTTTGAGTAAGATTTTATCCCCTTGCCTGACACCTCTACAAATTCTAATTAATGGAGTTTGCAAATCTCTGTCTAGCTGAATTCTCATAGTGGCGTTTTGATATATATTGTGGATTAACATTCTGTACCGTGAATCTATTCGCAAATTAACTAGCGCTTCTTTCACTGTCCATAGTTCTATGCCGTCAAACGCTTTTTCATAGTCAACAAACGCTAGATATATTGGAAGGTTGTATTCGTTGGTCCCTTCTATCAATATTTTAAGAGTGCGAAGGTGATCGGTTGTGCTGTACCCCTTTCTAAATCCTGCCTGCTCAACTGGTTGGTATGCATCAAATTTGTTGTTTAGTCTAGTTGTGATCACCTTAGTGAAAGTTTTATAGATTTGTGACAAGAGAGATATTGGTCTATAGTTAGCTAATGTTGATCTATTCACTTTCTTATATATCAGTATTGTATTTGCCTTGTTCCACTCTTGCGGTATTTGTCCTTCAAACAAACATTTGTTGAAAAGTATCTTTAGGTAGTCTTTTATCTTTTCCCCTCCTTCTTTTAACATTTCAATTAGAACTTCATCGTCTCCCGGAGCCTTACTTCTTTTCATATCTCTAATTGCTTTTTCTATTTCTTCTCCGGTTATGGGGGGTAATATTTCAGTTTACATTCATTATTTTTTTTTCAGGTTTTGTTGAGTTGTATCAGGTGAACTGTTTTTAGAGCTGTAGAGGTCACTATAATATTCCGTTGTTATCTTAGATATTTGGGTTCTGCTTTTTTCTATTACACCTTGTTTATTTTCCATCTCTATGATTTTATTTCTTTCTAGGTGGGACTTGATAGATCTTAAGTTTCTGTTTTCTTCTATAATCTTCTCGATTCGTTCTTCTTGATGCCTTTTGAGATCTTGTTTTATATGTCTTCTTATTTCTGTATTAAGGGTTTTGTATTCAGTTGTATTTCTTTTATTTTCTTGTAGTAGGCTTCTCCGTTGTTGTAGCATGACTAAAGATATGGCACTTAGTTTTGATTTTTTGTCTGATTTTGCTGGTGCTACTTCTAAGCTAGACTTTAGAAGTTTTTCAGTGATGGCTTTGTTTAGTTGATATAGATTTAGGTTTGTTAGCTTTAGTTCTTCAGTTTCGATCTTTTTTGTGTTATATACTTATTTTAGCCCGTATCATTCTTTGATCACTACCAGTAGAGATTGAGTTTATTACTGTGACGTCTTCGAAAATGTTCTTTTTGTTTGTTAGTATGTAGTCAATTTCATTCTTAGTGTTCCCATCTGGCGACATCTACGTCCATTTCCTATGTGGTTTTTTCTTGACGAAAGAGTTCATGGCAAATAATTTGTTGTTTTCTAAATAGTTAACCAATAGATCTCCTCTTTCATTTCTTACTCCATGTCCAAATTCTCCAATACAGTTTTCGTTTTCTTTTAGTTTTTGCCATTTTCGCATTAAAATCGCCCATTATAATCGCGTAGGTAGTGTTTCGATACGTCATGGACTCTGTGAAGTGTTCATAGAATTCTTCCATTTCTTCGTCTGTGTGTGTAAATGTTGGCGCATAAATCTAAATTATTTTTAAAGTGACCTTTTTGCTGATATTTATGATTAATAAAGCGAGTTTTTTCGTTATTCCTACATATTCTTCAATTTTATGAGCGTATTTTTTCGAAATCAAAAAACTAACTCCATCTAAACTTTCGTTTTCTCTACCGTTAAAATACAATATATTTCCAGACTCTAGCGAGATGCAGTTTTCACCTTTTCTTTTTACCTCCGATAGTCCGATTATGTTCTATTGCAGGTGTTTAACTTCTTCCTCTAATTCATAGAGTTTCTCGTCTTTAGACAAAGATCTTACATTGAAAGTTGATATATACATTTTTGTTGTCTATATTAACGACTATTGTCTCCCCAGATCCGATGAAACTGGCCTTATTAGATAAGGTGTAGGATTTGGCACAATGTGAACCACCTACCTGGGGACCAGCCATTTGAGAAGGGAGGTGTTGACCATAAAACATTTCTATAGTGCTATTTAAATAATGGAATCTGGTGGTGCTTATCGTAATCGAGGACGTCCTCCAACAAGGTGGTCAGATGACATCAAGCGCATTCAGCACAACTTTATTCAGGGTGCTCAAGATAGAATGCATTGGAATTATTTATGTTCAGCAGTGGACTCAAAACGGCTGATGATGATTTAAATAATAATTAAGTATTTTGTCGCATGTGAGGAACTAAGCTGGTTGTGATGTGTCTGGTTGCTCCTTAATTAGATTTGCTGGAAATGGTGGTGACGCTGGTTTCGTATTCACTAGCGATAGCCTGTCATTATTTTGTGTATGCTAGTGATACTGCACTATCAGTGCCATAACGTTATGGTATAAGGTTGCTATTCCTTGGGAGAAATTAGATGTTTAGGCAGTAGTGATATTGCTTATATCTTCAAATATTCCTTGGTTTGTAAGAGAATTAGACTGATATTTATTCCACTGCATCTTAGTTGTCAAAGAAAGCCATTCATGCACTCTCTACCAGCTTCTTCTTTTGTAGGCGTTCAACGGATTAGGCAGTAATATAATTTAATGCCAACTGATACGTTAACACCTTGAAATCTTTAGTTGTAAGTCCGTATTAACTCCTCGTGTTCAAACACTGATAACATCTCCATTTTTGTCTTGAGTGTTCGAACTACTGTATATAAAGAGGTCCAGGACGAAGAAGAATATCCTGGCTGCATAACTTGCGAAAATGGTTCAACTTATCCACTACCGGACTTTCAGGGCAGCAGTCAACAAAGTCAAAATAGCCATGTTAGTGTACAACATCCGTAACGGATAGGCACCATAAGAAGAAAAATCCTACAAAATAAAAAGCAATATTTATTATTTCATAGGGAGACAATGGACAGAGTTAGGAGACCTTAGACATCTCTCCATTGTCTACTCTTTATACACAAGAAACATTTTTTCGTCACAGAATGAAACGTCTTCAGAAATAGACGATTATTGAGATATACTCTCAAACTATATGTGTTTATCAAACTCTCGCCAAAATACAAAAATAATACTTTCCTTATTGGAAGCATAGCTTACATATATATACCTAGTGATGTGCAAGTCAGAACTGACTCGATTCAATAAGCTGAATCTGAACAAAGATCCAACTGACCCGAAACTCAAAATTAAATCTAACGGATCACAGGTCAGCAACAAACACACATGACGCGCAGAATTAAGCGAACGCGAGGAGTCAGCTGAATGCTGAATCCCAAGTTCTTATAAACAGAACCGAATCTTTTCAGATATTTTGTGGACTTGCTCGTTTGAAAAGAACGTGAATCGTGAACTGATTGACGGTTGTCAGGACGAGGATATTTGAAGAGCAAAAAATTATTTATTTTAATGAGAATTATGAGGTGTAAAATATTAATTAAAAACTTTAAACTTATAATATACATTATTGTCAAAAAAATGTATATATTTGTTGGCTTTCCACGTGATTTTTTGGGTATTCAATTTTTTTGTTATTTCTTGTATTTTTGGTCACTTTTAGAAAAACTAGAAGAGGTAACTATTTTCTAATTTTATTATAAAATTAATCAATTTTTAGAGTTTAACATGTCAAACGATAATTCCACTGGTTTTTGAACTTTTTAGTCTATTCCTTCTTTTTGTTACTATTTGCCCTGTTTTGGAAAATATCCTTTCACAGGGAACAGATGTTGTCATAATACATAACCTTTTCTTAACTAGTTAATAAAGTTTTGGATATATGTTTTTTCTTTGGAACCACCATAATAATGGGTCTTCTTCTCTTCCAATTAGAGGTTCATTGATATATTTATCAACCTATAGAGTTACTGCTGCTGTAGAATTCTGGGGTTCTCGAACTTTTTCGTCAAAGTCTTTCCACAGTAAAGACCCATTACCTGGTTCTAAAGGACCGTTTTCCACAAGTT